TGATTGATTGATTGATTGATTAGTTGGGAGGAAAAGATTTGCATTGAAATATTATTAGGTTACATATATGGGTATGGAAAATTACACTTGGCTCAATTTCAATCAACCAATCAATAAACATTTTATTTATTTATTTAGGCAATGGGGGTAAGTGACTTGCGCAGGATCACATAGCTAGTAAGTGTCTGAGGCCAGATTTTAACTCAGGTCCTCCTAACTCTAGGGCTGATGATTTATCCACTGTACCACCTAGCTGCCAAAATAAACATTTTTAATTGCCTACTGTGTTCCAGGCATTGTGCTATCTGGGGATACAAAAAGAGACAAAAGGCAGCCTCTGTCCTCAAGGAGCTCACAATATAATGGGAGAGAGAACATACAAACAAACATATACAAAGCAAGCTATATACAGGAGAAACAGGAAATTTTTAACAGAGGGGAGGACCTGGAATTAAGAAGGGATGGGGAAGACTTCCTTGAGATAGTGGAAGCCAGAGAGGTCAGTAGCTGGAGTGAAGGAGGGTGAGTGTTCCACTTGTGGGAGACAGCCAGAGAAAATGCCCAAGAGATGGAGTGTGCTGCTGATGGAACAGTGAGGAGTCTCATGTCACTGGCTCATACTGTGTGTCAGGGAGTAAGGTGTGGGAAGACTGGAAAGGTAGGAGAGGGCTAGGCTGTGAAGGGACTTTGAATGACAGTGTATTTTGTATTTGATCCTTGATGTCAAACCCTTCCTGTCACATGTACTAGTTGTGAGACCAACAACAGATGATAGAATCATTTTCATATTGGAAGAGATCTTAGGGTTCTTCTAGTCCAGAGGTGGGGAACCTGCAGCCTCGAGGCCACATGTGGCCTTCTAGGTCCTCGGGTGTGGCTTTTTGACTGAGTCCAAGTTTTACAGAACAAATCCTTTTATTGAAGGGATTTGTTCTGTGACGTTTGGATTCAGTCAAAGGGCTGCACATGAGGACCTAGAGGCCAACCTTGAGGCTGCAGGTTCCCCACCCTCGATCTCGTCCAACACCCTGATTTTACAGATAAAGGAAACCGAGGCTCATGGAGATTCAGTGACTTGACCTAGGTCACATAGGTAGTTCGCCCAGAGCCAGGATTCAAATGCAGATCCACTGACTCCCAGGCTATTTTCTTTTCACTGTGCTGTGCTGACTTATGCTTTACCCTCAAAGCTTCTTCTCCTCTCAAAAATGAGGATACCTGGAATTACCTGCCCTGGGACCATAACTAGGATGATCAGGGTTTTGCCCTAAGAAACTGAAAATTAGAGGGTGCGGACAATATTTTTGCTCCCTCAGAAGGTAAAAACAATAATTGCCTCCCCAAATACATCAGAGGAGTAGCGTCTTGGTGTCCTTCCTTTTCTCCTGCCAAGTTCTCTTTGGTCTCTCCCTAGAGACATCACGTGGGACTTTGTTTCTGACATTTAAGGCCTCACTCTGAGGTCTATCCACATATATCTCCATGTGCTTACCTTGGCTGTGCTGCTTGGTTCAGGGTCAACAATGACTTGTTAAGGCACCGCCCACTTCAGTCTGGTCGTGAGACTCAAATGAGCTATTGCCTGTAAAACTTTGCAAACCTTTAAGGATATGGAAATTAAATTATTATAAAAGGAAACTGAGACCCAGAAAACTTATGTGACTGGTCTAAGGTCATATAGGAAGTAAAGCAGTTGTTGTTCAGTCATTTCAGACTCTTCATGACCCCATTTGGGGTTTTCTTGGCAAAGATTCTGGAGTGGTTTGCCATTTCTTTCTCCAGCTCATTTTACAGATGAGAAAACTGAGGCAAACAGGGTTAAGTGACTTAACTAGGATCCCCCAGCTAGTAAATGTCTGAAGTCAGATTTGAACTCAGGAAGATGAGTCTTCCTGACTCCAAGCACCTCCTAGCTGTCCTTGGTAAAGCATTAGCAGTGGGTTATCAGCCTCATCATCACTGATTACTTCTATAGATCCAGAAAGGAGTATTCTAACTCTAAGGTGAATGTCCAAGCAATGCTACTGAATATAAGTATGTGTGTGTGTGTGTGTGTGTGTTTACATGTGAGTAACTACAACCACCAGAGAATGAAAAAATACTATTATATGTTAACTGGTTATTTAATATATGTATAAAATTAATCAGAAGCAGCAAGGTGGCACAGGGAATAATGAGCCCTTGGCTTAGAGTCAGGAAGACCTGAGTTCAAATCTGCCTTCAGACACTCACTAGTTGTGTGATCTGGGACAAGTGACTTTATCCTGTTTGCCCCAGTTTCCTCAACTATAAAATAGAAATTATAATAGCACCCACCTTGCAGGATTGTTGTGAGAATCAAATGAGATGATATTTGTAAAGTGCTTAGTTAGCACAGTGCCTGCACATAGTAGGTGCTATATAAATGCTAGCTATTATTATTTATTATTAGTCAGTTGCCTTTGCTTAGGTAGATCCAGTAAAAATCACCTAATACCCTAAGAAAATGCAATAACCATAGTAGGATTGATTAATACAAACTGAAAGGGCCCATAAAGAACAGACCTTGGAAGCAGAGCCCCATTTTATTCTTTTTTGTTTGTTTGTTTTTTGTTTGTTTGTTAGGCAATGGGAATAAGTGACTTGCCCAGGGTCACACAGCTAATGAGTATTATGTGTCTGAGGCCAGATTTGAACTTAAGTCCTCCTGACTCCAGGACCAGTGCTCTATCCACTACACCACCTAGCTGCCCTCATTTTATTCTTTTAGAGGCTACACAAAACCCATTAAATACAATGCCAAAATAGGGTAGGAGACAGTAGTAAACTGGTAAGTGTTTAAAAATCAGCTCTCTAGGGAAAAACCATACCCACAACAGAGTTTTAAATTTAATCAGACTTATTAACATCTTTTCCATCGTAGCCTTGGCCAGTTTCTGTGGTGTAAAGGCTCACGCTGAAAATTTAACCATCAATTCCTGTGGGCTGGTATGAGCTGACTCCAGCTCAGCCCAGATGGAAGAGGAGTTGAGTTAGCCTATTCTATTATGATCTATGGGATGTGTTTCTGTTTTTGTTTGTGGGGAGAAGTGCAGAGAAGAAAGAGAAAGGAAGGGCATAAGCATTTATTAAACACCTACTATGTGCCAGGCACTGTGCTAAATGCTTTCTAATTACCTCAGTCAATTCTCACAACAACCCTGGGAGGTAGGAGCTGTTATTTTCCCCATTTTACAGTTGAACAGCTGAGACGAACAGGAGTTAAGCAACCTGCCCAGTGTCACACAGCTAGCAAGTATCTAAAGGTGAATTTGAACTCAGCTCTTCTTGTCTCCAGGCCCAGCACTCTACCTATTGCATCATCAACTGCTTCATAGACCTGTTTGTATGAGGCATTTCTAATGTGAAAACTCCTACCAATGCAGACTTGCAAGTGCTCTGCAATCTATAGTCTCAGAGAGTTGCCTGGGGTACTGAAAGATTGGGGTCACGAAAGTCAGTATGTATCAGAGGCAGGATTTGAATTCAGGTCTTCTTGACTATAAGGCCAATTCTCTGTCTACTACATCTTGGTGCCATGTCATTTGGTAAGAGACAAAACAAAACTTTCTGGCTGTATCCCTACTGACTTTGTCTGCTGAACGCACATGACCACACACACACACACACACACACACACACACACACACCACACAGATGCAGGAATTGACCGTTCTTCAGTCCCTAAACTTCATGTTACTGTCAAGTCATTCTTGTGCCTTCAACTTGGGCCTTCAATTTGTTAATTATCATGATACAGTAGAATAAGTACAGGCTCTGGAGTTAGAGGGCCTGGGTTTAAAGCCCACCACTAATGCTTGTAAGGTCACCTGTATGACCTTAGACCAGTCACTTAAGATCCCTGGTCCTCAGTTTCCTTATCTCTAAAATAAATGGGTTGGATTAGATGGCCTCTGAGATCTTTTCCAGATCTATACTGATGATCCTATTGATGGGGTGCTTGGGTGGTTGTACTGGGACTCCAATTCCATGACCATGTTTCTCCCTAGCCTCAGAAACACTATACCTGGCAATTTCTCCCCAGCCCAAGGATACAGTGCCTAGTAATTACCCATGAGTGGGCCCCAGCAAGACCCTTATCTCTCTCCCTAGTGCAGTTACAAACAGCACCTGAAAGAATTATTAGTTTGAATTGACTTTGCACTGGGTCATAAAGATATTCTTACCCACTGGACTCTCTATACTACTGCCCTACCTCATTGTCTACATCCTGGACTCCTCATTATCTATATTCTAGACCTAAGACATAGGTATACTCCCTACATCTATCTTGTCAAACAAGACACTGACTGGTGGCAGGCTGGACAACTCTCTGTTACCCCTGACCACAAGTTAACTTAGTGACATAGCAGGCCTAAAACCACACCTCCATGTGCCCCCCCCATGGGCTTTTCCCAGTGAATTCTGGGTAAAATGCCTGCGTAGTACATACAAAAAGTGCATGTTCTTTTAAGAACTGACCACTCCTTAACCACTCCCTAATCCCACCCTGAACACTTAGCATATTTGGCACAAGTTTGATTGTATTTTATCCTATATAAACTTTAACTGTACCCCTCTGAGGTCTCAGGTTCCTTAAGAATCCTTGCCTACTGAAAAGCATAACAATAAACTTCTTGCCAACTTGACTTAAAGAATGCTTGAGTCTGTGAATTCATTCCAGACGACCCCATCCTGTACTCCAGTCTTTGAGGGGTGCAAATTCCACCTATGATACTTAACTATGTTGGATAATTCTCTTTATGTCCTTTGGTGTAACATGGAGTGGGTGGAATAGATGATCTCTGAGGTGTCTTTCAGCTAAGCGTGTGCTCCATGATGTCTTGTTCAATTTTCCCCAAAAGAAAGATCCACCCAGAGTGAAAATGATAGTCACCCTCAGCTGGGGAAGTTCCTCTCCTCACTGACAGGGCACTTGGACAATTGACAATCAATTGGACTGACTCTTGTGTGTTTTGCAGATTACGGATGGAAAACTGGCAAATGCTAAGATTCTCCTCCATATTGACAATGCCAGGATGGCAATGGATGACTTCAGCCTCAAGTGAGTTCCTTCTTGCCACCATTTTCAATTTTTTCAAAGAGTAATTCCAAGAAAACATCATGTAGTCAATGTCAACCTAAAGGACAGCATGGGGTTGTAGAAACAGTGCTGGATTTGGTTTTGAGTCTTAGGAGTTAGAGGCCTTGGGTAGGAACCCCAACTCTGCTCAGTTCTACCTATATGACTTCAGTAGCCTTATGTGTAAATGATAATGATAATAATAATAGATAGCATTTACATAATGCTTACTATATGCCAGGCAATTTACAATTATTACCTCATTTGATACTCACTACAAATCTGGGAGGTAGATGTTATTATTATCCTCATTTTACAGATGAGGAAACTGAGGCAAACAGTCAAGTAACTTGCCCAGAGTCACAGAGCAAGTAAGTATCTGAGGCCAGATTTGAAGTGAGATCTTCCTGACTCTAGGCTTTATCTGCTGCACCATCAAGCTGCCCATAAAATGAGGGCAGTTGGACTAACTGATCTCTAGGGTCCCTTCCAGGTCTGAATCTATAAACCTATGCTCTCTCTGACCATAAAGAAGTTAGGATGATGGCCTCTAACGTTGGTTCAGCTATGATTATAGTCCACGGCAAATCTACTGAAATGGTTTCCTTGGTCAGATTTACAATGATTCAGTGAATGAATCTTATCCTCTGTTTGCCTCAGTTTCTTCAACTGTAAAATGAAGATAATAATAGCATCTGCCTTGCAGGGTTTTTGTGAGGATCAAATGAGATAATATTTGTAAAAAATGCTTAGTTCAGTGATTCGCACACTGTAAGCATTATATAAATACTTAATTCCTTCTCTTTGACTTTCCCTTGTTTTTATATCATCCTCACTTTTGTATTTGTCTCTATCCTTCCTTACTCAATTAACTGCCCTTATAACACAGTCTAAAAAGGAAAGAGACAAATGATTCAACAAAACCAAACAACCATGTTTGCCAATCTAGATGTAATATATTTCCTAAACCCTTCTTTAGGGCTAAGCTGATTCATTATAATTTCAGAGTCCAATCTTGTTTTATTATATTTCTTCCCATTTATATCAGTATAGTTATTGTATATATTGTTTTCCTGGTTCTACTTACTTACCTATTCAAAAATGATTTATTTAAAGGAAAAAAACAACTTTAAATCTAGCCCAGGATGAGTTCTTACAGATTCTCTAGCCTTGAATCAATAAAGGTCTATTCCCTTTCATTTTAACTCAAAGGTATGAAAATGAACTGTCCTTCAAGAAAGACCTAGAAACAGAAGTAGAGACACTTCGGAAGATCCTGGATGACATGACGATTGTCACAACTGACCTGGAACTGGAGGTGGAGGGCATGAGGAAGGAGCTTATTCTCATGAAGAAGCACCATGAGGAGGTGGGGGAAACCAATGGTCTCAAGTTCTCTTCACCCAGAAATTCTTTAAAAACCCTCAAGTCTTGGGTCAAATCAATGGCTAAGAAGAAGGAAGCACCAATAACAGAATGTCAATCAAATCTCTTAATAATGCATTAAGTTATAGAATGTGGAAAAAAATCTTCCCTGGATTGTAGAAGGAAATGTATCTGTTCAAAACGCTTCACTTTAAGAACTCCATTATGCATCTTTATCATAGATAATGTGGCCTAGTGGATGGAGAGCTGTCCTCAGAGCCAGGAAGAACTGGGTTCTCCATAAGATGTGTAAATGGCATCTCTATAAGATGTAAAACTGAACCTCAGTTTTCATGTCTGTAGAATGGGACTAATAATAGCACCTGCCTCACAGGGTAATTATAAGGCTCAAATGAAGCCATGTATGTAAAGTGTTTTGCAAACTTAAAGCACTATGTCAATGCTGGTTGCTGATTTTTTTTCCCCTAGATCTTGTAATTTCACTGGTTTTAGGAATTCTTGGTAAGGAAATTCCTAGTCCTGCAGATGGACACCTGTTCTGCTATTTACAGTCTTACAGAGTTGCCTGTTATAAAATTGACTAACCCAGGGTCACATAGTCAGGATGTATTAGAAGCAGGACCTGAACCCAGGTCTCCCTGAGTCTAAGGCTGACTCTCTCTCCACCAAGAGCCATTATTGTTTTATCATAATTATTATCACTATCATCTAAGTTATAGATGGGTTATGATTTGTGTTGATGGAAAGAATTCCCATACCTACAAGTTTCCAGATCACTGATGAAAATATAGCATTAACAGCACAATAGGAATTATTGATTGGTGAAGATTAGGAGACAGTTTGGCTTGGAAATACACTATTATGAGAACAAACATCTAGTGAATGCTGAGCTTCTCTAACTAAACCAATATGGAAATATGCTAGTGGACAATATTTTTAAACTAATCCAGGAATGTTCCATTCCCAATAGCACCAAATAGACTTAAGGGGGAAAAATTATCCAAAGGGGAAAAAAAACCCATCAATCTGAATTAATTCATTGTGCCCAATGACACTACAGAGAAGTTTTCTCCTTATTGGAATCCAACAAGGCTCGGGTATACTGACTTTGACAAATCTGTTCAGAGACAATGGCCATTAAAATAAACCCTTCCTTTGGCTGCATGATGAGCTGGTGGGTGTTGGTTACATTCAATCAACAGGCATTTACAATGAGAGGATTTTAAAAGCTATTACACCTTTTTGCTCTAGGTTATTGAACTGATTCCCAAATCCTTTAGCTTGTGACCTAAAAATGCTCAATTTGTCAATTTCATAATCACTGAACAAGTAAATGCTATTTGTTAGGTATAAATGAGACTCCTGGTTATGAAAAAGAACTTGAGGAATTGAATTCTTCCTGAAGCACTTTGCAATTAGGATTAAAACAGTTGCCACACAGGTCTTTTGATTGACAGCCTAATGCTGTTTTTTTTATAAAATAATAAAGAAGAAGGCATGGAGAGTTTACTTATTTTGGTTTGTTTGTTTGTTGATAAGCAAGTAATATCTGAGAGTTAGAACAGCCCCTGCAGACCACCATGGCTTCCCCCACCTAAAAGCAAAGGTTTAAAAAGAGCAGCAACTCACAATTTTGGCACCTGAGGCAAGCAGCACAAATGCTTAACCTCCTTGGGCCATGGTTTCCTTATTTGTAAAATGCTTGAGTTAGGCTAGATGACCTGGGAGGGTCACATTACAAAACCTGCCCTTGAAATATCTTTTTAATTCCTGATAGAAAATAAATACAGGAAGTAATTAAGACATTCACAGTTGAATTGGAAGAGCTGTTAGTATTATTACCTAGTCTTTATATAGACTTTAAGGTTTGCAAATCACTTTATGTTCTTTATCTAATTAATTAATTAATATCTTATTTATTACTTACTATCATGGCTTCTAAGTTGCTGAAAGAGTATCCTGTTAAATTTTTCTACTTTCTAAATGTCACACCCTGGACAAAGCCCCAGCCACTCCACCCTAGTTATGATTCTGCTACAAAAGATAAGTGAAGAGGCCTGGGAACCTTATTGTAATTATGAATTCTTCTTTCCACTTCCAAAATAAACAGGAAATAAGCAAACAGCACATGACAGATGACATCAAGGTTAACGTGAGAGTGAACTCCACTCCAGGAGAAGATCTGATTAAGATTCTTCAGGACATGAGGCAAGAATATGAGTTAATAATTAAGAAGAAACATCAAGACTTGGACACATGGTACAAAGAGCAGGTAAAAGAAAGTCCGAGATGATAGGGGGAAGCTGTTTCCCTGGGACATTTGCTGATGCTGATGTGCTCTGTCCTTTTCTTCTGCCCTTACAGTCAGAATCAGTGTCCCAGGAGTTGGAAAGCAGGACAGCCTCTGTGCAGAGCAGCAAGGACAATATCCATGAACTGAGACGTACCTTCCAGGCCCTAGAGATTGACCTTCAAACCCAGAAGAATAAAGTGAGTCTCTGCTCAGGAAACCCATGGCTATTTCATATGTGAGGTTCTTTCTCAATTCTGCCCTATAGTTTCTGATTATCCTTCAGTATAACTGAGCACCAACTTCTCTTTGTTAAGTTAACAATATGGAAGACATGGGTGCATTGTGAGCTAGAACCACCGAAAATTCCTACCACCTGTAAGGGAAAATATTCTAGGCACCGGGGATAGAGAGGCAAAAACAAAACAGTCCTTGCCCTCAAGGAGCTTTTATTCTACTAAAATAGTCCTGATGTCAGGGATGAACAGCATTCTAGCCTACGGAGATTTTCATCACCGAAGCTAAATGTTGGGGAAGCTAGGTGACAGAGTGCATAGAACACTGGACCCAGCATCAGCAAGACTCATCTTCCTGAGTTCAAATATGGCCTCAGAGACTTACTAACTGTGTGACCCTGAGTAAGTCACTTAACTCTATTTGCCTCAGTTTCCTCATCTGTCAAATGAGCCAGAGAAGGAAATGGCAAACCACTCTGGTATTTTTGCCAAAAAAAAACCTCATATAGGGTCATGAAGAGTTGAACAAGAACGAACAACAACAAAAGCTATATGCTACACTTCTGGACTGAACTAGTCTTGGGGCTGTTCTGAGGAGTGATAATTAATGTTTATGAAGCATACTTCAGCTAAAATTAAATAATTGTTGTTACACTGTGCTAGTCATCTAGTAGGGTTACATACACACTCATACAAACACATACACTTACACAAAAGAATAATGGCAATTGCTAATGATGTTTCAGCACAAGGAAGTGTTTGGACATAACTGTTTCCACGTTACTCTATTCTATTAGAGTACTGAACATGGAGCTGATCCATGTCCAATGTTGACAACAACAACAACAACAATTTATTAAGTTCTTTCTATTTGCTATGCAGTTGGGGAGGGAGGGGCAGAAGGTGCAAAGGAGTATAATTCAACCACTATTTATTAAGCACCTACTGTGTGCAAGGTCTTATAATAGATGATGAGAATTTAAAGAGTGTCTTACTCTATCAAGCAATCTATCAAGCAATTACTAAGCGTTTATTAAGCAATTAAAATGCACCAGTCTTATAAGAAACTGGAGAAAAGAAGGAAATAGTAAGGGATAATATCAAGGGGATGTGAGATGAGAAGAAAGTGAGACGAGGGAGTTTGAAGTGAATGACCTTGATTTTCTCAGTAAAGCATGAGGTAAAGTCTTTTGATGGAGAGAATGAGTTTGGGAGAGAAAGGGAAAGGGTTGCCATGGGAGGTTGAGGAGAGAAGAGCAAGATTGCAAAAAACCATTGCACTAAGTAGGATAGAGAATCAATTAGAGAGAATTAAAGAATTGCCTTGCCTACTGAGGATCCTGTTGAGATTGGATAACATAAATTTCTATCTCCAGGGGGGAAAAGAAGGGAAACCAAATAATTGTGATGCAAGGAAGAATGAGATAAGGAACAATACCAGCGAAGTGCCATGAGAAATTTGAGGAGGGTCATTAGGAACAGGGTTCAACTGAAAGGAAAAAGGAGTATTTCAGGAAATGACTTTGATGGAAGAAGAAAACAAATGGCATCAATGTTTAAATTAGTGAAAAATAAATAAATTTTTGGAGGGAGATTCCACCCAGAGAGGTGATCCAGGAAGACTTCCTGGAAATTATGACATTTAAGTTGAAGGATGATGAAAAGGAAGAACTTAGACAGACATAAAGGCATAAAGTCATGTTCCTTGCCCTCAAGTTTACCACCCAGCTGGAGATCCCAGATGTGAGAGACCAGACATAGGAAAGGTAGAGAGCCAACCATGTCAGGCAAAATATGAAAGAGAATAAAATAGGGGATGCTCCCTTTTATAAAGACACAGAATGTTAATTCCAGGACATTCTCTTTGCTGTGTCACTGAGGAAGTTAATGACCCCCAGTCTGCATGAGTGAAGGTGAGGAATATTGCCCCCCACTATCATACAAGTAGGCTCCTACAGGTGAATGTTTAATGATTGGCTCCAAAAGACACACTTTTAAGTTTAATCTGTATTAACACTTTTCCCATCACTTTCTAACATCTAGATAATCAATAAAATAGGAAATAAAGCCCTGCTTTGTAGAATTTGCTGATCTTCAAGGCACTAGAAGTTGAATAATTGTCATTTGCTAACCAATGTGAGCTGGCTCCAGCGCCCCTATTTTCTGACCTCTTCTAGGGCACATAGTTACTTTGTTGTGGCCCTGGACAAGGCACATACACACATATACACATAAATAGATGACCAACCCAGTGGACAGATATGGTCACTGGCCAAAGAGTACCATATGAAGGAAGCACTGAATGTGAGGAGTGACCCTTGAGACAAAGGTTCTGTGTAATGCAAGCATAGCTGTGACCATCCCACTGTATTTGTTTCGGTTTCAGAAATGTGTCCTGGAGGGCATGTTGGCAGACACCCGGTCCCGCTACTCCTGCCAGCTCCAGGACATGCAGCAAATCATCTCCCGTTATGAGGAAGAGTTGATGCAACTGCGCCATGACCTGGAGCGCCAGAACAATGAATACAAGATCCTGCTGGGCATCAAGAACCATCTGGAGAATGAGATTGCCACCTACCGCCACCTCATGGAGGGCGAGGACAAAGGGTATGTCAGGGATGACATTGACAAAGGACCCACACAGTGCAATGGAGAGAACACCGACTCTGGAGTTAGAAAAGCTGGGTTCAAATCCTGCCTTTGCTGTTTTCTACCTGATACCTTGGGCAAGTTACTTAAATTCCCTGGGACTTAGTTTCTTCTTCTGCAAAATGAACTAAATGGCCTATGAGATCACTTCAACTCTAAAACTGTGGTCCTAAATCATGTGAAAACAGTATCTGCTTAAGCATTCCATTTGGGGCTTTGTCTGTGGAGGCTTAATTAGGGAGCTGGGGTTAGCATCATAACTCTAGAGTTGGAAAGGATCTCAGAGGCAAATCTTTGACCTGGGCAGGAGAGGAAAGGGGCAGTGGCTGAGAAGATAGAGTAGCAGTGGTGACTAAGGGACAGTCCAACCATGGATGCAGTTGCTCCCAGAGAGCAATGGCCCATTCCTTAGGATTACTTCCCTGAAACTCCACAGGAGTAGAATCCCAGGAATTGTGATTATTAACAATAATAGTATCCATTCACATTTATATAGCACTTGAAAGTTTTACAAAATGCATTCCTATCAGCTTCCATGTAAGGCAGGTAGTATAAGAATTATCACCATTTTATAGATGAGTAAACTGAGACCTAATAAAGTAAACTTGCTTGCCCAAGACTGTATAGCTAGTAAATGTCACAATAAGATTTAGAACCTAGTTCTGTGATGACTCCAAGTTTTTTCATTTCAAATTCAGACTTTGATTATTTTTAAATGTTTTCTCTTTTCAAAACTGTATTTCTGACTTCACCAGCCCCTGACCAGAAATGTCAAGAGTTAACTCACAGAGAATATTCCATGAACTCCTCAGTCTAGTTTCAAGATAAAGAAAGGGATCAGAGATAAATTTATTGAACCAAACCTTTGCACCTTCTGAGAGTTGTGATTTGAACACACAAAATGTAGTACACCTATATCCTAGGCATCATGCTGGCTCTCCAAAGCCAGTTGTCTATATACAAACTTGGAAACTCTTGAGAGGTAGCATCCCTTAGTGGCAAAGGCGCCAACTCTGGAGTCAGAGAGACCTACATGCTCTGGTGCTTTCTAACTGTTGGCCCTTAGGCAAGTCTATTGAATTTTTGGAGTCTCAGTTTCTCCACCTATAAAATGAGTATAATAACACATATAATAACATAGTACCATCCTCCCAATTTGTCAATTTTTATTATTGTGTCAATTTTTATTATTCGTGATGGGTTTTTTTTCCCTCTAAGCTCTTTTATCTTTTACAGAAAAATAGAAGACTACAAATCAGAGTTGAAAGGTAAAGAATTTTATTGTTTCAAACTATTTTTTCTAATTAACTGCCCTGTTTTGCACACATCAAAAGTTCTTGTCTTTTAGGTATGTTCCTAGGTCTGATAAAGAATGACTAGGAGTCTGCACTAACTTTACTGACTAATAGCAAAGTATGAAGGAACCTATGAAAAGGAACAGGTTGCCCTCTATATCTTTATTACATAAGTTAGGATCCCTTTGCTTATATCCTTGTTACAGACTGGGACTCAGCTTTTCAGAGTCCTAAGAAATGGAAAGAAAATTACTCTCATCATCTGTCAATAGTAAATCTCTTCCCAGAAGTCAAAGAAGCATAGATTCAGAGTTAGAAGGCATCTTTGAGATCATACAGTCTGACATCCTATCCAATGAACCAATCCCCTCTCCCTTCTATGATATCCCTTCATGAATAGTCATTCAATTTCTGTTGAACACTTTCAGTGACAGGTGTATCACTCTTTTGAAAAGCAACCCACTCTATCCTACATCACCTCTACTAGAAAGTCCTTCCGCCTATAAAGTCTATATCCTAAGCAACAGAGAATAATTTTACCTTGTCCAGACTCTTCATTCATTCATTTATTCATTCATTCATACATTCATTCATTTATTGAACATCCACCAATACTTTGCCAAGATCTCTCCAGCTGATATTTAACATATTCTCCTCTGTTTTGCAGTTATTTGTTTTCCATGTGTTTTGTGCTAGGAGCAAAGTATGTATCATCTTTATCTGTGCATCCCCCAACATTTAAGACAGTATCTTGCACATAGTATACATTGAATAAATGCTTATTGGAAAGAATTGTGAAATACTGACACTTCCTTCAATATTTCAAAATTGAGGAACAGCTTTCATGTTCTTTCTCACCAAACCTAAATTTTCTCTTATTAAGACTGACTATGTTGAGTTCCTAAAATGACATGTTTCCAGATCCCTCCCCGTCTTGGTCATCCTAGGAACACATCCCAGAGCATCAATTTCCCCTTAAAATATGGTGCCCAGAACCAAACGTAACACTCTGTAAGTACAGAAAACAGGTGATATGAAAAACCACCCCATTCCTTCCCAAACACATACATGCAAAGTATTTTTGGATGTTTGCTCATAGCCAGTGACTGAGGTTTGGCACCAATCAAGAAGCTAACCTGAATTAATCTTACAAATTGAAATTTAAGGATGCTGTAGCAGAATTTCTTTTAAATCTAAGTTTGCATCCCCATTTCACTGTCCAGTTATTATAATTGTTACCCATCCCCATTAGAATCAAACGTGAGTTTACAACACAAGAACCAAGGTGTCATCCACAGAGTGCCTCTCTCTTAAAATATACTTGCACCCTAGAAACTAGGGAAGAGAAGGGAAGCCTTGGTTGGGGGTTTTCCCCATTAACAAGCTTACATGGAGCCAGGTTTGCTGAGTATATTTGCTCCTTGTTATGTCAGAAAGCACAAAGCATGCAAACTTCAGAGAAGGTCATTTTTAGTGGGGAAACACTTAGGAAGGAACATGCTCATCGTGTGTTTTCTGATTATTTTTCTTTCTGTCTCTGCAGCTCCAAAGATCAAGGCCATACTGCAGGAAACTGTGAATGGAAGAGTAATCCTTTCGAAAGTCAATGAGATTCAGAAGCCTGAGTGAAGCATATAAAAATTCTTGCCAGTTGTAAATACTTTTTTCATGAAAATGCTGACAGGCTTAAACCACTTATGAAAGTGTTGTACATGTCGCATTCAGAGTTATTAGCATATCAAATTTCAGAGCTCACCTTTTTCTCCATAATATGACTACTTTCTCACTGTACTTGCCAAATTAGTAAAATAATAAATTAATAAAAATATTAATAAATAGCTCCCCTCTTATCATCAGCTCCAGATTCTTTTCATTTTTGGATCTCAGTTTCCAATAAAACTCTGTGTTGATTGTGATGTATATTTATTATTAACTTAATTTAATGATTTCTGATTTTTTTTAATGACAAAGTAAGAGAGAAAATTAAAAGATCATCTAATTCAGGGGTTTTCAGATTGTACTTCATGAACTGGTGGTTGAAAAAGGCCCTTCCTAAGATTTATAGAAAGTAGAGCTAGAGAGGACCTTAGGTCCTCTTAGCACCTAAGGTCATCTTAGATTAAGAAATTGAAACCCAAAGTAGTCACTCAGATCTCCTCCCCCTTATTCCTCCTTCTTTCTTGGCTCTTTTCCCAGCATTATGTGCTTGGTGCTTTCTGTCATGGGTTTCTGACACATACCATTTTGGAAAAATGAGTGTTGTTGTTGTTATGGTTTTTTTCTTTCTCTGCTTGGTAGCTTTCTACTATGGGCCTTTGGCTCACAACGTTCTAGGAAATGGTGTCTTTTCCTCCCGGTACCATGCCTGCACGATCCCTCCTGCATCTCTCTCCTGGCCTTTGTAAAGGGGGTTAAGGAAAGGAAGGGACTTTATTGCTGACTCCCAGGCATGTCCTCCTACACAGTTATTTCTATATGCCTTCTAACTGCCTCCTCTCTCCAATGAGGTCCTCTTTCAATTCCTTATCTGGGTGTAAAGGTAACCTTGGGTTCTGAAAGACTGGGCAAAACGTGAACTCTAGGAAATGCTGCCAAGCTTGGGGTATGTGGTCCACTGAAATCTTCTTGCAATCAAAAGGATTTGGCCCATTTTTTGACCTCTTGGCATGGTGATAGCCAAACCATCTTAAATACCCAACATGGCCCGGACACTGTCTTATTTTTAAAGGTCTTCAGAGGTGATGTCACAGTTTCACTCTGGCTCATCCTACACTCTCACATTCCTTATGTTCAGGAAGTTTATCTAACCTAAATCCTCCTTGTAATCTGAGCCCTTAAGAATGAAGAAGGAATGGGACCACAGGATTTAAAACTATGAGGAGCCCCTCATTATACAGGTGCAAAAGCTAAAACCTAGAGATGTTAAATTTTTGGCTTTGGATAGATATCACTGAAAACTCAGTGTAGTGTAACACCATATGCCATTTTGAAGTGTTTTCAGATTGAGTCAAGCACTTCCATCAATAAAGTCACTCAACAGCAAGATTTCAGTCCTGTCTCAAATCCTATTAAATACCTTCATGTAACAAGGAACTGTATTTCCCAGGTGGCTATGAGATTAATCTCTGGAAGCTTGACTCACAGGTAGAGGACTAAAATAGTTGGATTTTTTTTTTAATCTTTTGAATGTCTGCACTAATCAATAATTATTTAATAGAAACAATAATAACTAACATTTATATGGTGCTTATTATACATGAGGCACTTTGTAAAAGCTAAGCACTTTTACAATTATTATTTCATGTGAGCCTCACGACAACCCTGAGAGGAAAGTCCTATTATTATCCCCATTTTACAGATGAGGAACCTGAGGGAGATAGAGGTTAATGCTTTGCCAGAGGTCACACAGCTAGTGTCTGAGGCTTGATTTGAACTCAGGTCTTCCTGAGTCCAGTCCCAGAACTCTATCCGTTGTGCCACCTAGATTCCTGAAATGATAAAGATGACCCAGCACTCTATTTACTGTACAGCAATTGAAGGAGAAATGGGGAGTAGAGCAAAGATTTTAGGGGCAAGACAGTGGAGCCTTGGTCCTTCATGACAAAAAGGTATCAGATATTATACTTGCATGCCCCAATTCAGCATTTCCCATTCTAGTAAAATCTTTTGGACAGTCCAGTTCAGTGTTAGGATACTTAAAACAGTAATGGGAAACAGCATGGTACAGTCAAAATGGGCATTGGTTCTAGTCAGAGGGACTGAGTTTGACTCTCACCTCTGATGTGTGTGTACAGTGTATGTATGTGTATGCCATTGGTCAAGTCCCTAACCATCCTAGGTCTCACTTTCCTCATCTGCAAAATGACAGGGAATGGATTAGATGGTCCCAAAGGTGCCTTCTCAGATCTACAATCCTGTATGTATAACAAGGGGGTCATTCGTGTTCCACTCTACCACAACAGAAAGAATCTGTCTGATTTTTATAATAAGGAATCAATCAGTCAACAAGCATTTATTAAGTGTCTGCTCTATGTCAGACATTGTGCTAAGAGCTGAGGATGCAATGACAAAAAATGAAACAAAGACAGCTAGGTGGCACAGTGGATAGAGCACCGGCTCTGGATTCAGGAGGACCTGAGTTCAAATCCGGTCTCAGACACATAATAACACTTACTAGCTGTGTGACCCTGGGCAAGTCACTTAACTCCATTGCCTAGCCCCCCCCCAAAAAAAAGAGAAAAAAAAGAAAAGAAAAAGAAAAAATGAAACAGTGTCTGCCCTCAAGAAGCTTACATTCTATTTGGTGGGAGAGGCACTAACTATAACGATTCTTCTTCCTTAGTGCTATGGCACTCAACAAAATTCAAGTCAATGTTTATTAAGAATCTATGTGTGTAGAAGCACAAGAATGGATAGAGTACTAGATCTGGAGTCCAGAAGATCTGGATTCAAATCCCATCTCTGATGCTTAATCATGTGACCATGGGCAAGTCCCATAAGCATCGAGCAACACTTGGTTCTCTAAGTTCAATGCGTACATTTGCAATGGCACAAGCAGTCACCGTACTGAGGAATGATCAAGGTTCTTGTCCTAGGAATACAAAGATGGAAAGCACCAGAATTGCTGCATTCTGGGAGTTCACAATCTACTGGGGGAATACACTGAGACACTAAGTCTACATGCTAGACACTTTAAGGACAACAGAGAGATGCTGACAAAATGTAAAATTCTCAACAAAAATATAAGAATGAAGAGAAAAAGAGTTGCTGGATTTGCAGAGAGGAGCTGAATATAAAACTCCAACATTGATTACCTGTGTGATACGGCCAAGTTACAAGAGAGGTCAATCTCTATCCCTCAGTTTCTTCATCTATAAAATGATGAGCTGTCTAGCTGACCAGTGTTGTTTGGAACACTGAGCATATGAATTATATGCTAGGTATAGGGTCCTTAACCTATAAAAAGTTGCAGTAAATGACCAAAGCTAGAGAGGTCAAGTTGAGGCCAAGTTGTCCAAGATTAGATTTGGACTCTCTCCCTTTCTGCTAGTTGATGAATGGTTATCAACATTTTAATGGTCTGATTAAAACAAAGTAATGGTATATGGATTATATACCTGAGTGGATAGATTATATTGCCATACTCACATGCAGCATAGGGGCATGAGTCATAGAACATTGAAGTCTGGAAAGCTTTGAAACAGGTATATCCTAAAAAGCAATGGAGACTTGGGCATGAGCAGGTTGCAACATGATGCAAATAAAGAATTGTGAAGGTAAAGTGCTGTTTTTTACTGCTATGTGTGAAAAGAGAACTCTGTGAGTGAAAGAAGAATTGTCAGATCATGAGAGCGAGCTACAACTGATGGGATAAGCCAACTCTTTGTGATATAAAGAGAATTGGAGGAAAGACCTCTGTGTTGGGTGGGCCCCCCAGTGTCAAACTTATAGGAGGACACAGACAAAAATCATACAGGATGGGCAAGAAAGAAGGGCTTGTGACCTGCTCTGTGTCACTGGAGGTAGTACCTAGTGAGATCATAGATTCCTTGGACTATGAATGATGCTCGTTTGACAAATCTTTCATCTAGTTTAGAATAATTGAATGTTAGTGCTCGAAGAACCTTAATTAAGTTCATCTAATTCAACTCTCCTTTACAGATGAGGACACTGAAGCTCAGAGAGCTAAAGGGATTTGTCCACAGTCAAGCAGGTAGTAAATGATATAGTCAGGCCTAGAATCTAGGTTTCTTGACTCCTAATTAAATGTAATAACATACACATACATAATACATATTAAATATAATATATAAAGGGTATTTTAAAGAAGAGTTTCATAACCTGGGATCTATAAACTTGTTTGTTTTTTAATGACTTTGTAACTTCATTCCATGTGATTGCTTTCCTTTGTTATCCTATGTATTTGATTTTATGCATTTAAGAATGTTATTACTCTCACCTGTGACTCCCAAAAGCGTAGCATGTGCAAAGGCCACACTCCAGTAAAACTATCTCAGCAGATTAGGTAAACCAGGGTGAGAATAACCATCAGGTCTCAAACCCATTGTTGAGTTAGGGAAATGTCTACCCCAACCATGTGAAGACTTTCCCTGGTGGAATGGAACTTGTTTCCATAGCCATGAAAGCAGCCAAAGCAGGTGCTGTGGAGAGCTTAGAGCTTGGTCAGAACAAGGTCATCCACTGCATCCCAGGCCCTCAATAGTCATATTGACTTTTGTCCTGCCACGGGACTCCAATGACTCTAGAAGATAAAATGAGGCTGGAGACCTTGTACAACTCTACCTCACATAACTCCAATTCACATGCAAGCCAAAATATCACTCAGTGATGTCACTGGTCTTCTTTGAAAATGAAGGAAGAACAACAATAATCTATTTTATTTTATGTATTTAAAACTGTTACTCTAAGAAGTATTTCATAGACTTTGGCAGATTACCATGACACATAAAAAATCAAAACCCCTCTTTGAAATAAAACCAAAAAAGTAGGTATAAAAAGGAACCCTTAGAAATATCAAGAAAATGGGAAAAATAAAAGTTTTTGATTCAAATAATGAAAAATGTTCAGTAGAAAAAGACACTAAAAAAACCTGGCAGTCACATATCAAAAAGAAAACTAGAATGTCACATTTTAAATAATGAAAACAGGTTAAGAATAATAGTCATCACTTTATGATACGGTTAAAGACAGAAGCTATAATGTCCCCCCAAAAAAACAATAAAAGCAGGCCCTGGGTGGAGACTTCACCACTGATTTCTGACTTGTTATTTTCTTAGTAAACATTTAAGTAAATGAAGATAATTGCAGGGCTTATAGAGATTACTTAGCAAAGGTT